GAGAAAAAGCGTCTTGCACTACAATTCAGCACCCACAGGACTTGCACACAGATTTGACAACACCTGTGACCCCACCCCAACCCAACATTCCCAACCCCCACCCACCCTTTTTTTCTAACAGCTGTTGTGTCATGTCAGGACAATCTGAGAATTGAAAAGAAATGGAAAGTTGCAGACCAAGAACGTAGAGTTCGTTTAGAACAAACTTCTTTTCTAGGATCATTTCAACTCTGTCTTGATGACAGCTAGTTCCTGTCGGAGAGGTGTCTTCTGCAGTCTGTCTGCACATTCACCATTCCTCATGCTGTCTTTTGAACGCGGAAGTGGTAGTGACTTTAAACTCAGCAATGGCTTAGCATTTAGTTCATTAATTCCGATGGGAAATGATGTATCCTTAAGTCAAGATTCAGCAAGTTTGAGATATTGCCTAAATCAGTATCACAATTATTAGAAGTTCAGTGCACATTGCCAACTGCTTATAACTGAATGGTAGTATTAACACTTTGTTTGCTGCTCAGTATTCTATTATTTGATTCTGATAATTGCATTATTTTTTCATTGGGCAGGAGTCGCCGAATGAAAGCTGAAATTTATTAAATCACTAGAAACACAACAAAACAAACAAGAAGTGCCAAACTTAGTTTTGTGTTTCTCCAGAAAAGCTCTCATTTAAGTCCTCCGACAGTAGCACTTCCTGCAACCAGTGTGTTGCTGCAACGAGATTCACTCTAAAATAAATGTCGCACAAATGTTTATATCTGCAATATGTACAGCTTTAAGCGGTCAATTAAATATCAATATGTGTGACCTAAGACTGTTTTATTCTATTGTGTAGTAGACAATGCAACTTTGTATTATTTGGAGAGAAAGAACTTTGAAGACCATTCCGTACTTACCTTTTTATGCGCTCCACCACAATATAGAAACTATACTTCTACATTATATATAGCCCATAAGAAACTGACAACATGATTTATTGTTTTCGACCTTCTCTCACTTATTAAATATAAAACAATGAATTACGTCATGCAATTAACAAAAATAGATGTGCTACTAAACTACTAAAAGTGCTAACAGTCATTTGAAGAACACAACACTATTATCATAAAAAGTAACATATACATGGCTTTGGTTTTATTATACACATCACAACCATGTAATCAAAACCTCCCCTCACTCTTTACCTCAACGTTTAGCCCCCCACCTTTCTTCTTTTGTGGTTCCAATAAGAACATTTTCTTGATGCTCCACTTTAAATAAGAAATAATAACAAAAGGGTGGTTTTCGGAGTTAGACAAGAAAGCATTTCCAACATCGAATCTTGTGAAAGAAATCTGCACCCCTTTGCCACTCTAACTGCCTCACCGAGAAAGCAGTTTTCAGCAGACGTCCATTAAAGAATGGGATGCTCTTTCAGGATTGCGAAGAGCATAAAACTGACATTTCTGCGAAAATAATTTGCCAGGCCAGCTTTTCTCGTGAAAACTGTTCATGCATAATGCATCTGGTGTTGTTGTGTAAGAGGAAGCATATTGTTGTTCAAACGCCTGTGCTCACGTTCTCGGTCAGACAATACTAGCTCACTGTTGTCCAGGTGGTGCTTTACTTATTTCAGACTGGGTATTTGAACCTTGACAACGCCACTAGTCACTTCCTTTCGTTTGGTGCCCCGTGCTTCTTAGATATCTGGAGACTTTGCACAAGTCTGTGTTGATTGATCAACCAAACCAGTTAATATTTTTCAGTAAAATATAAGTGTAAATCGAGGATTGCCGAGGTCTTGTAGGAACTCTTTAAACGGGACAATAAATTGCATCTCCCTACGACTTCTAAAGATACAAAATGGAGGATAAAGTAAAGTAAGTATTGTCAATAAAAGGACGGTAATAGGAAGGAATTGAATAGAAGCCTTCAGTCAGTTGTCATTCCTCCGTGGACAGTCTCTCGTCCTAAAGTCCTAGCACATCGGTAGATGAGATCATCATAGATCACGACTTTCGAACGTCAAAATAGAAAAAAAAAACCATTGTTGTTGATAACACTTTTGGCTCAGTTGATATCACGCCGGGGTTTGGTGTTAATGGGCCTCTTCGAATTCTCAAAATAATGTTCATTAACTTTAGGGGTCTGGGGAGTATGATAGGTTCCCTACCCATTTGACAGATCTAATCGGAGACGGACGTTTTACCGGAGGTCCTGCTTCCTAATTTTGAATAGTCCAGAGCATTTACCGGCCTCTTAGAATGTGCCGTGATTTTTCGTAGGTTTTTTGTTTTGTTTTGTTCTGTTTTGTTTCTAGGGTTATTTTTTCGAATTCGTTACGCCCGTCTGGTGAATCATTTATTTTTGTGCCAGTGAACTCCCTTACGCCTTATCGGGTATCTGTTCTTTAGCAAGGGGGTTGTAGGGGAGTGTGCAATTACTCTCGCCTCTCTGAGAGTGTGTATGTACAAATGTGTATGTATGTGTGTGTGAGTATGTGCGCGCGCGTGTGTGTGTGTGTGTGTGTGTGTGTGTGTGTGTGTGTGTGTGTGTGTGTGTGTGTGTTTGTGTGTGTGTGTGCGTTGATGTGTGTGCTTGTACACTGGTATAGCCGTGCCTAGATACGAGCTTTTGTGAAAATCTGTAAAGGCATAATGATATTTGTGTGAATGGGTAAGTGAATCTTCGTCTTCTTGCTCTATCGAGTTGAAAATCTTTTGCTTATTGAATTCTACAACTGTATAGCTCCTGGCGTGATGCTGTGGCTACTTATCTACTGTTAATTCACAACATGACTGAAGATACTCGCCCCCGGCTTATATAGACAATCGTCTTTTACAAATAATTATGGTCATAGCATTACACCGTGTTTTTTAAATATATAAGTGCTTTGAATGTGCGTAGTTTATTTTCTACAGGTACTTTATTATTTTTTCGTGAGTATGTATTTCGAGTTATTTGATGAATGCATACATTTATCTTTCCTTTCCCTTATGCTGTAAGTAAATGGCCAAATTTTAGTCAATGTTTAAGTAATCAATGGTTTGTGTATATTGTGCTGATGTGCATTCGCAAGAAAAGTCGTACATAAAAATTGTTCATTCTTTTCATTGAACAATCTCCTGCACCTACACTTTGTATACAAGGACCTTCAGTCCCTAAAATATTCGTTACGCTATTTTTAGTATAGTGTCTAGTACAGATGAGAACCATCCACTAGTATACAATCTTTGGTCATTTTATGAGATGTTAAGAAGTATCATGTGTTCCTTTACTGGGAAAGCGTTGGCTGCCAGCTTTCGTCTCCCACGGAAGACGCGGAAGGTAAGTTTCTCCCTTTCAGTGGAGGAGGAAACTTCGACTCATCATTAAAAGTAGTTCGGACAGCGCACCAGCCACCCAGTCCCAGCTGATGGTGGTATTTATTTGGACGTGAATCAGCGTCACTTGTTTGTGCAAAAAGTTGAATTAAAGCTTGAACATTGTTTTAAAGACCTTGATGCTATCATTGATTACCTTACCTTTTTGGTTGAACACTGAGTCAAAGCAAAGACAGAACTCGAAGCTCCAGCTAATGTCCATCTTGCGTCTGTCGCGTTGAGTGCCACTTTGATAAACTCAGAACGTTGTTCCAAGGTAAGAGCATAAAGACGTACGCACATTCTGCTCACCAATGGTCAGCAGTTCAGATGTATTAAGCCCTCAATTTTCATTTCTTTGTTACTGCAATTTCATAATCTGTGGTATCGGTTCTATTTGCTTGAGACTATTTTGACGAAGTTCAAATTTTAAATGATAAAGAACAGAAAGAAATTATACAAACGAATAAAGGTACAATTTTAAAAAGAATGAAACAGGTTTTCCCCTTTAAAGAAATATTTTGCTTTCTGGACTTACAACATTTTGAAAGGCTTGCCGACTTTCTTCAAAGATTGTGAAATGTCATTATATTATAATAATTTTATGTTGTTATAAAGTGTACTCGGTTTTAGTGCAAAGGCATGCCTTAAATTTATGTAACTCAAAGGCATTTCGCTACCTCAGAATTATAAAGTTCTATCAGATCATTTTGGCGGTTTTTAGTCACTAAGACCATGAGGTCAGAAACCAAATGTACTATCTGTTCTATCAAAATCGTAAGATTATCCAGAGTCATTATTAAGATACTCAAAGAAATGCATTTTTAAAACATTTGACATAATAAGATATGAAACTCAAAATCTTTGACGTCAAATTTCTCAAAACTAGGTACTGTGCACATAGAACTTTTTAAATCTGAGGTTGCGAAATGTTTATCATTCTTCATTACATGTGACTTGTGGAATACTCCCCAGGGTTTTTAAAAGTAATTATACTTTCATCAAATTCTCAAACTCTGAATTTTTCTTTTTCTGTTTGTTCTATTATTATTTTTTGGTACTGATGACAGAATAAAAACAGGAGGCATAATATGGTAACATTTCAGGCATTTCTTTGTGAAATAAAAATTTACAGTAAATATTCAGAGTTGTTAGACTTTTGGAGAATCAATTAGCATTGCATTACTTTTATATTTACCCGCTGGGTTAAAATAGATATGCAAAATATCAATTTATATAAAGTTAAATAGAATTATCATTCTGCAATGTAAAACTGTCATTATTTTCTCTGCATATCTGATTGTGCTAACAATGCATTTTTTTTTTTTTAATTGGGATGTTGTTTTTGTTTTTATTTGGTTGTTTTCCGTCTCTTTGGTCAATGGGTTTCTACTCTTTTTTGGTCACATTAGTTGATTGGATTGTGTTTGTTTGTTTTTTGCTTTGGTTTGTCTTTTTAAAGATTTTTTAGGAGGGGGATGGCAGATATTAAAATTATGTTTTGTATGTGATATGCATTTCAAATCTATTTTTAAAAATGTTTGTGTGAGTTATACAATTTATACCTAGATTTAAAAGAAAAAAATGGGCGTTAGTTATGGTAAACTGTAGTTGGTTGTATTAAATCTAGTTTTATAATTCACTTAATTCATTTTTCAGGTCCGATGGGCGAACGTGGTCTCAAGGGTGAGTCAGAATACAACGATGGAGCTATGTAATTTTTATATTGTATGCTTAAAACTGCATTACTAGATAGATAGATAGATAGATAGATAGATAGATAGATAGATAGATAGATAGATAGATATCCCCCACCCTCCTCCAACTCTCTTCCTACTCTCTCTTTCTTTCATTCTATCTCTCTCTCACTCTCTCTCTCTCTCTCTCTCTCTCTCTGTCTGAGTGTGTGTGTGAGTGTATGTGTGTGTGTGTGTGTGAGTGTGTGTGTGTGTGTGTGTGTGTGTGTGTGTGTGTGTGTGTGTGTGTGCGCGCGTGCGTGCGTTCGTCGTGCGTGCGTGCATGCATGCGTGTGAATGTTCATTTTCCTCTCTCTTGCTATTAACCTTTTGTGGTGTTTGAGAATACATTATATGACGCCCTTGTTTCAATCGAATGCATGTAGTCAGTTTACTATTTTGTCCCTCATTTCCAAGCAGCTTTTTTTATGAACTTATAATAGAGCCACGCCTCTTTTTGGGGCTCTTTTGGGAGCAATTCTACATTTAAAAAACGACTTCTTTCCAATATTAAAAAGATAGAGAAAAAGTAGCAAGCATTTCGTGACGATGCCACATGGTGATCACGAACGTTCACAGCAAAGAACCATTTCCTTTCGTGCGATAAATCATTGACGGAAACCGTTCATTGAGGAAGGGTACATCAAACGCGCTCGCTCACGCATGTTCACACGCACACACAAGTGAGCTGAAGCTTATTCATATTGATTGTTGACAAAAATGACGCATGAAAGTATGGTCCAGTTGTTGACTGCTGAAATGCGAACATCGTGTAAGAGACTCTTCTCGTGCGAGTTACATTGTTTTGTGGCACTACTTTGTTTAATTCCCTTGGCTTCTTTGTTTTTGGTACCTTTATTTATCTTGTATCTTTTATTTTACTTCATCTACTTTTTCTTCTCATTCAGAATATGAATATTTTTTGTTTTCGTCATAGAGAAAGGAGAGCGCAAAAGAGTGGGAAAGAGAGTAGGAAAAAGAGAGAGAGAGAGAGAGAGAGAGAGAGAGAGAGAGAGAGAGAGAGAGAGAGAGAGAAACAGAGGGCGGTAGGGAAAGAGAGACAGAGAGAGACAAAGAGAGAACAAGGGGAGCTGAGCACGACAAGATACAGGCACAGAAACAGAAACTAGACTGATAGGCATACATAGAGCAATATGTGAGAGATAAACACAGCGAGAGATACTTTGAGTTAGAGATTGAGAGAGAGAGAGAGAGAGAGAGAGAGAGAGAGAGAGAGAGAGAGAGAGAGAGAGACAGAGACAGAGACAGAGACAGAGACAGACAAACAGACAGACAGACAGACAGACCGACAGACGGACGGACAGCAAACTGAACGAGAGAGAGAGTGAGAGAGAGAGAGAGAAAGAGAGAGAGAGAGAAACGTTGAGAGAGAGAGAGAGAGAGAGAGAGAGAGAGAGAGAGAGAGAGAGAGAGAGAAAGAGAGAGAGAATCTAAAAGTACGAGGCAATAGCTGAAGCTAAGGGAGCCATTATGGGCTCGACTCTCCAGCAGGTATAAAGGTCACCTGTGATCTCCACGCCTTACCGGTGGAAGGGACGAAAACCAATATTTAGTTTTCCTCCTCCACTCATTAGAGGCAGATCGAAGAGTGGGCCACGATGTTCAATAACAGTTTTTCTTTAACATGAGTAATGTTTGTCTTCGGCCTAAATTTTTCCCCTACTGTTACCAGCACAGATACCGCACAGATATCATTGTCAACGATTGCAGCTTTTACTTTTTATCTATCTATCTATCTATCTATCTATCTATCCATCTGTGTTTCCTCATGCATCTATCTATCGATCACTCTTCTATTCTTTTTTTGTGTGTTTTTTTTCTCGTTCTCTTTTTTTCATACTCTTCATTCCCCTTTCTTCGTCAACGAAAGAGTGTTTCAACCCAATCGTTTTGGGGTTTCTTTTTCACTTTTTCTTTTTCTTTTATGAAATCTTTCTCCTTTTGTCCACGTCTGTCTGTATAGATTAATTCATCTATCAGATTGAAGTTTCTGAATATCTCAGTGTTTATTTGGGATTTAGTGCGCAATTCAATGCATGTATTGCTGTAAAACAGATGAACAATAGCTGCATACATTTCCTCCTTTTATTCGTATTATATTATCCCCTTACTTCAAACTCTCTCTCTCTCTCTCTCTCTCTCTCTCTCTCTCTCTCTCTATCTATCTATCTCTCTCTCTCTCTCTCTCTCGCTCTCTCTCTCTCTCTCTCTCTCTTTCACACACACATACAAACCCACTTAAACATACACACAGACACACTCACACGCACGCACTCACACAC